TGTTCTGGGTCGGTTTTGGGGTCTGGGGATTTTGGGGCCGTTTTGGTGCATTTTGGAGGTTTTTTTTGGGGCGGTTTTGGGGCCATTTTGGTGGAGTTTTTGGGGTGTTCTGGGTCAGTTTTTGGGTTTGGGGGTTTTTGGGGCCGTTTTGGTGCGTTTTGGTGTGTTTTGGGGGTGGGTTTTGGGGTGTTTTTTGGGGCCGTTTTGGTGGAGTTTTTGGGGCGTTCTGGGCCAGTTTTTGGGTCTGAGGGTTTTGGGGCGGTTTTGGTGCGTTTTGGTGGAGTTTTTTGGGTGGTTTTGGGGCCGTTTTGTTGCGTTTTGGAGGGGATTTTTGGGGTGGTTTTTGGGCTGTTTTGGTGAGTTTTTGGAGGTGTTTTTGGGGCCATTTTGGGGCTGTTTTGGTGGAGTTTTTGGGGCGTTCTGGGTCAGTTTTGGGGTCTGGGGTTTTTTTGGGTGGTTTTGGGGCTGTTTTGGTGCGTTTTGGAGGGGGTTTTTGGGGCCGTTTTGGGTCCGTTTTGGCTCGTTTTGGTGGAGTTTTTGGGGCGTTCTGGGTCAGTTTTTTGGGTCTGGGGGTTTTTGGGGCGGTTTTGGTGCATTTTGGTGGAGTTTTTTGGGTGGTTTTGGGGCTGTTTTGGTGCGTTTTGGAGGGGGTTTTTAGGGCCGTTTTGGGGCCATTTTGGGGCCATTTTGGTGGAGTTTTGGGGCGTTCTGGGTCAGTTTTTCAGGTCTGGGGGTTTTTGGGGCCGTTTTGGCGCGTTCTGGGTCAGTTTTTCGGGTCTGGGGGTTTTTGGGGCCGTTTTGGCGCATTCTGGGTCAGTTTTTCGGGTCTGGGGGTTTTTGGGGCCGTTTTGGCGGGTTTTGGGTCAGTTTTTTTGGGTCTGGGGGTTTCGGGGGGCGCCGGTTCCGTCCCTGGGGGTCCCGGGGGGGGATTTTGGGCCCCACCTGCTCGAAGAACTCATCCATGAAGTGGTCCCTGTCCACCGTCACCACCTCGTCCTCGTCATCGCTGTCCTTGGCCTGCAGGGGGCACCCTCGTCAGGGGGAGGGGGGCGTGGCCTCCGTGCAGGCCACGCCCCCTCCCCGCATCCTGGCTCTCTGATTGGTCAAAGCGGGTTGGAGTGCAAAGCCCGCCCCCTTTTCCCGCTGCTCATTTGCATAACCACTCCCCCTGAGAGCTCCTAATTAGCTGCTAATTTGCATAATTCGCAGCTCTAAAGCACCATCTGCCCCGGTGCTGATTTGCATAGCCCCGCCCACACAAAAAACCACGTACTGATTCCTCATTTGCATAACCACGCCCCAACCATCAACTAATTATAAACTCATTTGCATAATCTCGCCCCTAAACGTGTCTTATTTCCATAACCACGCCCCCCCAACCCCCCTGCTGCCTCCTGATTGGCTGACGCAGCCCCGTGTCATTTGCGTGTCTCATTTGCATAACGGCCGCTCATTGGCCGCCGGCTCTGGGGTGATTTGCATAAGGGGCGGAGCCAGCTGGGGGGAGCCCGACGCTGATTGGCTGAGCCCGGGGGGTGACCC